TGATAGCCGAGCAGCTCAGGAGGCTGCGCGCCCTGTTCACTCGACGGAGCGTTGGCCGTTCGATGCGGATCCCACCCGACAGCACATGCACACCATTGCGGTGACTTGCATAGCTCAGCCAAGAACGCCCACCACGGCTGGACATCGGACGAGGTAAAAACGGGGCTTGAAGCGCTTTGGGCAGACAGACATTTCAAAATCAATGGACATTGTCAGGCGGCCATTATTCAGGTGCCCCGAGCCAGCCCAAGGACAGGTTCCACGTGGGAATTTTTGGTCGCCATCTCCCGTCATCGGCTTCGGGCGAGGGGGATTTTCTCGCATCTCCTTTCTCCTGTACCACATGGCATTTGCATTGTGCTCATCTCCCGCGAAATCTCCCCCGCAGACGGCCAACCCAACTGCTGGAATCATGCGGATCGACGCGACCCCTGCCAATAGGATCGGGCCCCTCGGCGTCATTCCTTTTTGGACTTTTCTCACGAGAGCTTCACCAGACACCGACAATGTGCGGGCAGCAGAAGCAAAACCGGTGTTGTTGTTGAGAGGTGAGATGTTTCTTCACATCTGCGCAGGCATTCTATCGCAGAATTCCAAGGCCCTTCCATGCGCGTTGCGAGTCAGTCAAGACTAGTTGAGGAGTCCCCGGCGTTATGTATCCTCGAGGGGCGTGACCCTATGAGGTACTTTGGGCTCCCCCCCCAAGACATGATGCATCACCTCAGGCCTCGCTCTATTGGCTTTTTCGCACCTAACATGCAGGTTCTGTGCACCATGTACCTACCCATCCGGTTTCCGCACGTAAGGCTCATATGAGGTTCGTGCCCGCAGCCAGCGAGTGCCGCGATCTCACCAAGACGTAGGTAGATGGCATACATGTGTAATTGGGTTTCAGATAAGCGCTGATGACGCTGGCAAATAACACGCAGCTTTGAAAGCTCGCACGTGCTGAGACATAACCCCTGGCGGACCACGCCCGGATCAGCTCTCTCGGCAACCAGAGCCGGGTTGTGGTTGTGAGAGCAGCCCCAGTGTGACCCTTGGCACCATCCAAGCCGGCGTCTTAGGTCAGCCCTGCTCAGAGGCCACTGCCGGCGTAGGGCGCCGGAGCTGTACGCGTACGCTAGGTGGACATCAAACGGCACAGTCCACAGGTTCTAGAGGCTCAGGGGGCTAGACCGCACCGCGATCGAGGACGGTTCGATGCCTACCTACCTCTAGGTAGGCCGAATTCCTCAGCATCGATGCCCGGCCATCCGCGCGTCCCGGGCGTCGGTTGATCCCCGAGGCTCCCGCTCATTAACACGGTTTCCCAGACATACTTGGGTCGCCGACCTCTGGCCGTGAGTTGTGATGTGTGTCGGTAGGGTTAAAGGCCCACAACGGCAACTGTGGAGTCGAGCTCGCTGTTCACACTCTGTGTGTTTACGCTCTGTGATACTTTACGTAACGTGACAATGGGAGCGGTTCGGCTATGAGGTACCCAGGTGGATATAGCATCCCTGGTTAAGAAGGGAGGGTTGTGTGTGTGTTATGTAACTTCCTGCCGCGGGCCATGTTCCCGCTCAGCAGCAGCGACCAGTTGTCTCGCCCCCAGAGAGTTTAGAGAGCCAATCCTGAACTCATTACACCCGGGCACCGCCTGCAGTCATCATCAACCTTCTTCTGTCTGCGGGGTTTATGTGCTGCCATCACCCCATCACCATCCGCAGCATTGGAGGGTCGGAAAGAAGATTGGTGGGCTCAGGGCTATCTAAGTTGCAGTAGCGTACCAGCCTTCGTATGCCCCCCTTTCCGTCTTTGAGTTTGGCCACGAAGTCAATATGACGCTTGACGGCGTGATTGGCCCGTACAAAGTGTGTGTGTGTACCCCGGTGCTATGCGGCCCGGGGCTGAACTCCTAGTCTAGATTCTCGTCCAGTACGAGGCATGCCACAGCCGTCCACGCTTCTCCCTGCCGCTATCCTTCCTATTAGGGACCAGGGGTGCCGCAATCGACCCGCCCTCGGAGAAAATAGGCAACCTTATCTGCCGTCTCGCTTGACTTACTTTTGCAGACTCGAAATGGTATCTCTTAGGGAACGTATATCAGCATGGGGCATTGACTCGGTGGGTTTATGGCGTCGTCACAGCGGTAAGCGTCACGGCTTTGAGCACATGCTGAGTCCTAGTATTCTGGAGCATTCGTGTGCTAAGATTCATGGCAATCAGGGAGTGTGTATGGCTCCGTTGCTGCGGAGTAGCTGTTGCGCAAGAGGTCGAAGCACCTGCGTGATAACAGAAGCTAGCATATCTGCTTGCACTGAGTGAATTGGTGGGTCCGCCGCAACGACAGGGAGCTTCGAGTCCTCAACAACACCCGTTGGTGTATGTAAGCACTGGGCCGAGGACAGAGCCAAGTGGCGAACCCCGGGCCAGCAGCAATGCATGTGGTTGGGTCTGGGAGCAGGGAGAGTCGTGGCTAAAGCCATCCTCGGCAATGTCTTCCATATGCTTGTCGGTGGGTAGGGAAGGCATTCGGCCTTCGTGTCCAAGACTTGGATAGGCTGTTGCGAGATCTGCCGCCGATGAGCTGTAGTAGTACATGGCAGGACTCTCGCTCTTGAAATCCACTGCAGTCTAATTAAGCTTTTCCTGCGTGGTTGTGCCGTCCATTTCAATGTTTCGATTTCGCCAGGTTAGGTTGAGCCTTCAGCTCCCGTCTCAGACAGCGGGCACTCAATGGAACAAAGATCTGCAGCATTACTTCCATCAGGTCTCGGGCTGCTGCTTGTTTCTTTCAGAGCTTGTCTGGGTACTGTCAGCCGGGGGACAGGCCTGCATACATACTGCGGGAAGTTGCTTTCCAGGTGCATTCTATGTCGGGAAAGTGCCCACCTCAAAGGCGGGAACCGTAGGAACACCGGGCCCATGCCCGTGCTCGTCTATTCCTTCTCATTCAGACTGGGACTCCTATCATTGCTGGAACTCGTGTTGCATCGAACATGTCTGTTTCGGTGCAATATACAGGCGCCGTGGGCTCAACTCCATCACACATCGCTCAGCATCAGCGACATCATCCGGATTCCAGGCAGAAGCTGCTTTTATTTCGGGCCAAAGGCTGCTGGGATTCTGGGAAAAGGGATCAGGGGTCGAAACCTTAGCTTTCAAACTTGACGATATCTTTCCCACACCAGCCGCAGCTTGAGAGAATATATCCCCCCTAGCCATTACCTCAATAATAGCGCGAGTGCGAACGGGTCTTCCGTCTTTCCAGAACATTTCCTCCTTCGGCTCAGACGGGGCAATCGCTGGCAATAGTACCAAAACAGCCTGAGCCTCATGACGGCAGCCAGCTGAGACGGATTCGGAAATTTTACAGGCTGAAATCCTCAGCCGCTGGGCTTTTGTTACCCGGTCAGAAGAAAGAATTCACGGAATCCAAAGATTTGCAGAAGATCAATTTGGGCGGCATTGATCTTGATACGATTTGTTCATCCGAAACACAGGTTCAATCAATGACTGCATTTCATCCAGGGGAAACAAGAGACGATGTCTTGGCAAGGGGGGAAGAATCGGCTAGACACGTCGCCGTCCCTGAGGGCAGCTTACACCTTGTGATTGAGGGGATAGCATGGAATCACGTAGAAGCTTTGTGGAAGCAAATAGAAGCACTTTAAATGCTCCTACTGGCTGTGGTTGAGCTAGGCCTGCACGCATCCCTAAGCCGGTCAAGGTCTTTTTTGATAACCCCCCCCCCCCCCCCCCCAAACATCTGATTAGGTTGGCCTTGCATATTTTCTTCAAACCACCGAGCCCGATTAATCTTGGACGGAACACTCAAAGCTTAGCCTCGATGGTTGTCTAGACAGAAAACAACGGTCATACCTGCACTTTGCTTGGAAGTTTGCGATGCTACCCCCGAGGCCATCTTTCTAGCGTCAGCTCGGGCTCAGCATCAACAATACCACTGTGGATCTAACCTGAAAACATACTGTTGTGTTCTCAGACCGCAAATATAGCAATAGAAACCCCACAGGAATGCCCGGAATTCTCACGCCTCATGGCTGGACATTTGCGTCTCGGGTGTTGCGAGGGTTGAAGTCTCGCCGAGTGTCAACATCCCTTCCTTCACAACCCATTGAAGTTATTCCCCTGTTTACCTAATGGCCAGGAGCCATGACCCCCTTCCCTCATTTCTTTGCTCAGAGGGCTCGTTTAATACGTACCTACCTCATTAAGGTTGGTAGGTGGTCATCGTTTGAAGTACCGAGTTTTTGCTGTTCCAGGAGGAAGCTCTGCTTCATTTCTCCGATAGAAAAATCTTCTACTCGTCTTCTCCAGAGAGATTTTAAGGTCTGCTGATGCCGGATATCTTATTTGAGTAATAAAAATGCATGTGCTCGAATCCTGTTTTGCCCTGGGCATTGCGAGGTTGTGTTCATCCTCACTACTATATTCCACTTCCCCAACTGTTTAGTCTAGAAGGGTTTTAGAAATCGTGTCTTTTGTAGTCTAGACTCAACACAAGCTTCGGCTGAAGAGAAGCGGACAAAGTGTGCTATGGTTTATATACGAAGCGTTTAAAAGCAAATCCTCAGTTCACGGATGTGTAAAAACATTAACTCTTCCTGACATTTTTTAACCATTTCTATAGTCTCGGGATCAGCTTCAGGTTTGGGATTAGGTTTGGGTTCGGGTTGGGCTCGAGTTTTGGTTCAGGGAAAAGTTAGGAACTGATTAGCTTCAGATTTCGGTCAGTAACAAGCTGCCTAGGATACCTTAACCTAGATATCCCGATATTCACACCAACCAAATCATTTTCGAGTGATTAATATGAGCCATTTTGATACGTTGGAACTTGTGCGGAGACTTGCTACAAGAATCCTTGCTTGTCTGCGCAAAGCGAACTAGTCAGGCTATGTTGATTTAGCTGGTTCCATTTGTAATTACTGATCGGAAAAGATTACTTCTAGCAGATCAAAGAAGCAAAAAGAAATCAACACCTGTTTGAATCATTACTCGGATACGAGGAATCGAACCCCGGCCTCCGAGTGCTCAATCCTGAGAGATGTTGAGAGTCGGAACTTTACCGTTACACCATACCTGATGAACTGCTGTATTCATTGATTTATTGCAAATTCCCCCGGCTCATGCTTGGCTCTTTGGTTGCAGAAATCGCACTTGCGAGTCAGGAGTCAGGGATCATATGGTTTCAATGTGGATATCAAGGCGACGGCTTTATAATTGAGTCTCGAGCTTGAGCTCACTAAAGAATGTTAAGCGCGGGATGTATTGTAGTTCGCTCTAGGTTGAAGAAATAACTGTCGGCGGGCGATGCAGTCATTGGATTGCGATCATCTTAAGTATAAACACAGTGATTCGCGGTTTAAGTTACGCTCGCAACGTGGGCGAAAATGGAATATTCTGTTCAAGTACGGATTACCTTGGCATGCGCATACTATTCCCTTCGTCATGTACCTGTTCAACTGGGTCATTAGTCTAGCAGTCCACACAAGCTGATTCCGGTAGAGGGAGGCATTCATATTTTTGGAGCCACACATTTCCGTGGTCAGTTGTTTGGTTGTTGACATTCTTACCCCTTTCAGAAGGTCTGCCCCCCGCAACGATTCGAACGCCGAGCTTGGAGTTGGTCAGAGCTCCTGTTTGTACGCCAGAACCGGTTAGGCGCTAATGGAAGGCGTTGGGCTGCTGATTAGTCACCCGTGTTGGCGTCGGCTTTCGGCGCCTAGGAGTTGCGTGGGCGCACTGGCAGCCTGAGCAAGCATCCATTGCCATTCATCGCCACGAAGCTGCCAAATGAGGCAGGCCGACCTTGACTTGCGAGTTTCATTGCGCGGTAGTGGCCATAGAAATGCCTAGCAGTTGCGATATTTGAGAACTTCCCACCCATCCATTCATCCATTCATCTACTCATCCATCTGCCCTCTTCGCCGTGTCTCGGCCGTGCGCCAACGCCAACAACGCCTGCCATGGCGAACCCTCCCACCGAGCAGAGGGAGCTCGACCTGGTTGAGAAGGTCGACTTGCGCATCCTGGGCGTCTCCAATAACGAAGAGAAGCTGCAGCAGATGCTCAAGGTGTACCTGCTACCCCTTCTTCTCAAAGCAGGCAGCGAGCATGCCTCGGTCCGAAACAAGGTATGCCTGCGTCTCCACCCCACATTGTGCCAGCTTCAGAACTTGGAGCTCAGCTCACGCCCCTGATAGGTCATTGCGATATGCCAACGACTCAACACCTTTATCCAGCCTCCAGGGTGTGTATGAGTCCCCCTTATCTAGATCGTTGCAGCAAACTGACACCCCCAACAGCATCGTTTTGCCCGTCGCTGCCTTGCTGGACCAATACAAAACAGCACAGTCCCCAATTGTCAAGCACTTCGACCTGACTTTTGTGCAGCACAGTCTCGGCAGGCTAGGCCAACCTGACAGGCGCAGCCTCATCCCCAAGGCTCTCCGTGGTATCGGCTCTGACACAAGCGCCTCGGTCAGCAACCTCTTCAACGTCGTCCTCCGCCTGCTAGCCGATCTGAGACTCCCTCCGCGGGGCAGCAAAGATGACGTCTCGCTCCGTGAAGACCTTGGGCTTTCTGACCCTACCGACGCCAAATTTGTCGCAAACTGGTTAGGGAAGCTCATCCTACTGCGCACTAATCCCAGAAGCGGCCCGCCCATCACTCCTGCTGGCCTGACGGATGTCGACGTCAACTTCCTTACCCTCAGAAAACCAGACACCTGGAACCCTTCCACAAAGGGCCTCAGCCTTGCCGAGACGCGCATCAAGGCTGTCGTATTCCTTGCGAGCGGGGCCTTCACCGACCAAGAACGCTTTCTCCCTGCCCTTTACGCTGCCTCAAGTCCCGATTTCCGCATCTCCGAGACTGGCGATGACATGTTGAAGAGGACTTCAGTCTCACTAGAGGACCCGGAACTCGTCCGCCATCTGTTTGGAGCCTATTCCAAACTGTCTAGCCCCTACAGGGCACGCATTCTGGGCCTCCTCAGTAAATCCGAGATATCAACAACCTTCACCGATGAGATTCTAGCAACATTCCAACAGGATGTTTCGCCCCAGCCTGGAAATGCTGTCGACAGCAGCAGCAGCACCACCTCCGCCGCTGTTTCTGGGCTCGAACTGGCCAAGCTACACCGTGCCCTCTTCGAGTACATCAACTGGGTTGCTCGGATTGGCCCTAGCAAAACCGACTTCAACAAGATCGGGCCGCCTATCGTTGACTTGCTCAAGGAGTTCATCCAGGGCCAAGGTTGGCCAAAGCCCGAGCGCCATTCTCTTGACGACGTCGCATTGCGTTCTAGAGCGTACGAGACCATCGGTATTCTTGCCAAGGGAACATCCATGTCTGACATCGAGTGCCTTTCCCTGGCCGGCTGGTTATTCCGCTCGCTCTCCGAAGACCCCACACCCGATGTTGTTGTCAACATCGACAGCGCACTTTCGAGCCTCACCAACATTTTTAAGCCGCCGCACCCACAAGAAGTAGATGCCGCACTGCGCGCTATTCTCTTGACTTTCATGACGGCAGCCGACGAAGAAGGTGGTGATATTGTTCGCAGCGCTCGACATGCTGCTGCAAAGTGGGCAAACCACTGCCTCCCTTTCTCTGATGTCCATGCAAGGTGGATCGACATTTTGGCCATAGCTGGCCGACAAGATGAGCGTAGTGACGTCGTTGAAGAAGGCCAAAAGGGGCTGGATCCCTGGACCTATTACGCCAATGAGGAAAAGTCAACAACATTACCCAGCTGGCGTGAAATGGTGCAAATTTTCTTCAGAGAACCCATCTCGCACATAAGCTCGGCGATATGGCTTCATGGCACCGGCATGGATATCGATGAGAAATCGGCATTCATCAATTTCCCTGGTGACGCATTTTTCGCTTTTCCTGTCGCCCTGGGATACTGCAAGCGCATCCTGTTTCTGACTGCATTGAATGACTTCAAGGTTGAGCCAGGTTGGGAGCGCCAGTTGGAGAACCTAGTCCAGTCCGACCTTGCCAGTCAGCAGACAGTCCGGAGCTACTTTGCTTCGACGCCGGATATTGGGCAATCTCTCAACCATCTCCTTGAATCAGCGTTTGAGGGCATGGTGAAGGAAGACGTCAAGATTGCCGAACAGTGCGCCAAGTCGTTTGTTGATATTGCATCCTTTGCACCAAAAGCTGTCATCGAGCCCCTCGTATCTCGCTCGGCAGCCCTGCTACCGCTGATCACTTCGAACAAGAAGGAAATCCGCGTTCTCGGAGCAAAGGCCTTCGGTATATTGGCCGCACACCCGTCCAACTCTGCTGATTCCATTTCCAAATCCAGGGCAGCGCTAGTCGAGATCACAAAACCCTTCAAAACCGCTGTGGGCTCGGATCTCAACGCTGTCGAGGGGGCTTTCCTTGCGCTTGCTCATCTTGTCTCTAGAATAGCATACTATTCCACGAAAATGGATGGCGAGGCTTCCACTCATCTTGGCGACATATTTCCCACTCTGGAGTCAATGCCGTCGGTATCTGTGTCAACTCAGGAAGCCCTCTTCGAGGCATACTCTCAACTTTGGACTGCCGGGATCCAAGTCATTCCTGACAACGAAGATGCTAGCGACGCGTCTGCTTATATCTCCAAAGCATTTGTTGACCCCCTGGTAGTCCAGGCCAAAAAGGGCAACGAGAAGGCGATCACTGCACTAGGGAGACTGGCTATCTCTGTTCCTGGCGGGGTGACAACCGGCAGCGGATCCAGTGATATCGTCGAAACGATATTGGAGAAGCTCTACGCGCTGTACGAGATAAAGCAGGCAGAGGTTCATTTCGCTGTCGGGGAGGCGATCACGGCAGCCACTGCTTGCTGGGATGCTGGGGTTGTGCAGCTCACCATTGACGTTGAGACCCAGGATAAGTCGTACCAGATACCGAAGCGCGCAGGTCGGATCACCACAGCCGTGGAGAAGCTGCTCAAGGACTGCAAGACTACAAAACCCTCCTTACTGAAAGCATCGGGGATATGGCTCTTCTGCGTCATTCAACATTGCTCGCATTTGGAAGAGATCCAGTCGAGGCTGAGAGAGTGCCAGGCAGCATTCATGAGGCTGCTCAGCGCAAGGGATGAGCTGGTGCAAGAGACTGCGTCCAGGGGCCTTGCGCTTGCCTACGAAAAGGGAGATCCAGAGCTCAAGGATGAGCTTGTGCGCGATCTGGTGGCCTCATTCACCGGATCTGGGCCCCAGCTGAAAGTTGACGATGAAACTGAGCTTTTCGAAGCCGGTGCGCTCCCAACCGGCGAGGGCAAGTCCATCACATCTTACAAGGACATTGTCAGTCTGGCCAATGAGGTTGGAGACCAAAGTCTTGTCTACAAGCTGATGTCAATGGCAACAAACGCAGCGACTTGGTCAACCCGGTCTGCATTCGGGCGGTTTGGCTTAAGCAACATCCTCTCCGAGTCGGAGATCGACCCTAAGTTGTATCCTAAGCTGTACCGGTATCGCTTTGACCCGAATAAAAACGTCCAGAAGTCAATGAACGACATTTGGAAAGCGCTGGTCAAGGATTCAAGTGCCGTTCTGGAGACCCATTTCGACGCCATCATGACGGACCTTCTCAAGAGCATCCTTGGCAAGGAGTGGCGAGTGCGCGAGGCAAGCTGCGCCGCGCTATCCGACCTAGTATCTGGACGGCCATTCGCAAAATACGAGCCATACTACAAAGACATTTGGGCGGCTGCACTCAAGGTGCTGGATGACGTCAAGGGGACAGTGCGTAGTGCAGCACTTCATCTTTGCATCGCTTTGTCAACGACGCTGGTGCGGCAGCTTGAGGACTCAGGCTCTACGGCGTCGGCAACAGCGATGATGAACGAGGCACTGCCATTCCTGCTCTCGGACAAGGGGATCGAGAGTGGTGTTGAAGATGTCAAGGTCTTCTCGACCATCACGGTAATCAAAATCGCCAAGGGTGGCGGCAAGTCGCTGAACCCCTATATCCCCACCATGGTGCCACACCTCCTCGGCCTTTTGAGTACGATTGAGCCGCAGGCCATCAACTACCATTACCAGCGCGCAGGCGAGGATAACAGGGAGAAGATC